ATCTTCTGGAGTCAGGTTTTGAAATGAACACCCCTTGGGCTCCACAATAGCACAGCCCTCTCTAAATAGAGGAGTTGACTGTTGCTAATGATGCCTAATTCTGCACCAGAGGAAAGGCTGCAGTTATTAATAATAATAATATAGATTCTACAATCTATCAAATAATAGGTGCGACCAGATACTGTATCTACAGGAGCGTTCCTGACATCCAAATACACTACTTAACTCTTGTAAACTGTGTCTATTACATCCTGCTTCTAATCAGCTTTTTACCATTGTTACACGGATATCAACAAAAGGCTTGTTAAGGAAACCTCATAATCTTCACTTAATGAGCGTTGAGACAAGTAAGAATACAAACATAAGAATACAAACATTAAACCTGCTAACTGCAACACTACACTTCCGTCATTCAGTGCCCAGCTCAGTCACACCCACCTGACTGCTGTGGAGAAGAAGCTGTAGCAGAACCATGAAATCGTAAGCTGAACTTCCAACCAATTTATCAAAATCGTGATTAAAAGGTAGGCTCCAGGCATTTAGGGAGCAAGTGAGAAAACTGAGCAGTCGGCTGCATTTGTGCTAACGAAGCCAGGACTTGGAAAGCATGAGGCTTTTCTGAAGGGAGGCAGGAAGGACAGGAGGCAGCAGAGATGGGCAGCAGGGTAACAAGGGGTAAGGCCAGCTACTCCTGAAGAAAATCACTTTGTTTTCTTCACGTAGGCCTCTCTACGAGCAGTACGTGTCTAGTCCCCCGCTTTGTTAGTAGGACGACTACAGAGAGACACAGTGCGACGGCACTACTGGGGTGTAGAGGGTAAAGCCTTGGAGCACTCCACAGGAGGAGCGTCACGACTGTGGAGGGAGGGAGACCAAGTACAATGGCAGCAGGGGGGAAGGTTAGACCGCGAGGTTAGGGGAACTGTTTCAACAAAGGTGAGAAACACACAATTAAATTAACGCTAAAACACAGCAAGAAAGGAAACAAAATGTAAACATACTCTAGAACATGTTTTTTTTCTTTTTCCTTTTGTTTTTTTTTTTACCCCTGGGGAAGAGACAGAGGAGAAGAGGAAAGAGGGGTGCAGGGTGCAGTTTGCCCAATCAGAGCTGATTTTTTTGGGTTTTTTTTTTTTGTTTTGTTTGTTTGTTCTGCAATAGGAAGGGCAGATTCCTTAGTGGCCAAAATGAAAACGCCAGCAGGATGGCAACGCATAGTTCCCACTCTATGGGTTGCACTACATATTTTCATCTTGGCAAGCAATGTGATGTAGCTCAGAAACAAAAATCCAAGAGTATATTTAGCTACTAAAGCTGTGGCACACAAATGTCACATTCCCATGAGTCAACCCTTTTAAAGAACCCCCTCTTCACGCCCCCACAGATATTCCCCAAGATGCCTGCACTGAATTTAAAGTGAAGCATATGGATGGATGTGACATCATCAAAGCACCCGTGTAACAGAAAAGAAAGCAGCAAGTAGATTCTGTACAATTAGTACAATCAGTGAGAAGCCATTTGTGAGAACAGGAAAAGAAAGAAAACACTGTCCAAAGGATTAGACACAACCAATGAAGAATAGCACAAAGCACCTTACAAAACAAAGAGTAAATGTTAAAAAAAAAAAACAGAATTTTTTTTTCTTTGTGAATGTGTGAAAGTAAAAGAAATCATGGCAAAAGTAAAAACAAAATCTTGATAAAAGGATAGTAAGCGTAACATTTTCTGATTTAATTTTGTGCAAGAACTCTTTCCTTTGCCCTTTTAAAACAACAAATCAATAGCAATTTTGGAGCCAACTGGCTCTGACTGGGCAAGGCAAGGAGTAACAACACACAAGTAGATGGTAATGGTAAACAACCATGCGGTCACCTCTGCCGCCATTGTTTTGATTGCGTGTAGACTGTTTCCAGCTTTGTCAATATTCATAATTAGGCACCAAAGAATGCATGATATTTAAATGACCCTGTCAAGTGCTAATAAGACTCTTTGGTAACCATCACTCCCTGGAGAGGGAACTATTGAATGTAAGCCACCTCATCAGTCAGTGAATTGAAGCGAAAATGATTAGAATCTAACAGCTATACATTTATTAATATTTTCACTGCATGCTCTTCTGAAAGCTGCTACTGGCATACAAGATGCTTTTAAGAGCTAGCTTTCCATCTATTAAGCATTGCTTTGCAAAAGATTTGTGAAGTAGGGACCCACACATAACAAACAGTGCCATTAAAATACACACACATCTCTGCATTCCTCTGGGTACATAAATGGCCAGATCTTCCACTATCGACGGTTTCTGATGCCACTCCTCTGTCTGATGCCAGCAGAAGAGCTGGGTTCAAGGATCTGATCTCCTCCCTTCCTTCCTTCCTTCTTTCCTTCCTTCTTCCTTCCTTCCTTCCTTCCTTCCCTCCTCATCACATCTGCTTAACGACATCCCCTCCTCCCAGGCTTGAGGAGAGAAAGATACCACTTACTTTCAGAAGAGGGAACACTAGATTTTCTAAGAAACATCCTCTTATCTCAAGCATTTTGAATACCAGGTGTTACTAACAGACTGGTCAGAAAAAGAAAAAAGCCTTGTTTCTTGGCTGTCAGCATTATCACTGATTTATTGCTGAGAGGAAAGAGAAGTGCTAGGTAAATCACATGCCATCTTTAGAAGGGCATGCAGGTTTATCTGCCTTGCCTCCTCTATATTCGTGATACCCAGAAATCACTTTTTCTGAATTGCCCTTCTACAGCTGAAGAGCAAGGGCTGAGGAATTCAAAAAATGAGGATGATATTTCAAACTGAGCTTAAGTAGGGATTAGGAATCTGAGCTTTCACCTTCAGCACCCTCAGTCCCTTGCACCCTAAATTACAGTTTTGAGTTTGATTATTGCAGCTGCCTGAAATTCTTCCTCTGCTGAGGCTCAGCAGGCCACAACTCTTCAGGGTGCAGAGGAGCTCTGTGCTTAACTCACATGTAAACCTGATCAGGTTCTAGAAATTCACTTTTTTTGCTTTATATTTGCAGTTATTTTCCCAGAATTCCTACAGGATCAAGCTCTGAAAAACATTGTTCAAACAGGGGCCACTTCTAAAACCCAGTTGAAGGAAGAAGAGCAAATGGCTATTTTTCCCTTTTTGATAGGAAAAACTAATTGCTGGGAGGCGGGAGACAAGTTCGCATCCTCTGCCTGAGGGAATTAAAATCTTCATAGTCCATTTCCTGCCATCAAGCCTAAAAGCCAAGGCTACTAGATTAACGTTTGCCATGGCATCTCAAGAAATTTTACTACATCTTCTGCCTAGTTTGACTGGCCTCCTCAGCTGGAAAAGCACTTCAGGCTTTGTCTCTGCTGAGCCAGCCAGGTAACACCCATTGCCTTCATGGTGAGGAACCTGGGGAGGCAATCTTGGGGAGTTCAGTGAGAAATCCAGGATACCCCAGGACTGTGGGAGGCACTGTGTATCTGGGACTGTTGTGAATAATAGGCACTGAGTTCGCAGTCTGGGTCCAGACTGTCACCGGCTGTTTGTGCAGCTCTGCGGAGGACTGTTCTGCAACATTAACATGCTCATCACCCCCTCCTGAAAGTCTCCACAGTCAATGCAGAGAATTCAAGAGTCACTGGGTCAGATGGAGGGGAAGGAATACAATTTAGAAACCTACTAGTTTGGGCAGAAAACGCAAAGCAGTAGGTCTGGCATGCCAGTAGCTTCTCCAGGAACAGCTGATGCTTTTGTCTAATGAGTTTTTCATGTAAAATGCATGACCAATAGAGACTGGAATCCACATTTCAATTAATATTTTAAGTGTTTTGTATCAAGTATTCACAGCAGAAAGGACTGCAGCTCATGTGTGTTCTTGCCCCTGGTGAGTGCCCTAACCACTCAGCAAGTGAGTTTTGCTCATACCCATCCTCCTTCTGGCCCACTGAGTACTTAATTAGTCCATACAGAGCGAAACATCTTCAACAGAGAAGAGATTGAAAGAAGCTATCTAAGAATACCCTGGAGAAGAATAACAACGACTAAGATCTCTCTACACAGTGGAGCTATTTGAACCTAAGTAAGTCCTGTATTTACAAAGGAACCATTTTAACCTCTTTGAGACACAGATTAAAAGGAGCTGGGAGAACGATGGAGGGCCAAGATGGAATGAGGGGGCACCACCATCCTTACATAGGAGAAAAGCTTCTTCTCTAAGCACATTCAAATGGCAAATTTAGGCAATTCTCTGCCTAATTCTCTGTATGTATAGCAAAGGGGTACTGGAGGCCAAAGGACAGGGCTGTCACTTCGATTAGACCCAAGTGTGCTTCAGCACAGGACAGAACACTGTGAAATGACACCTAGATCCCAACCTTTTGGTGTTTTAAAAATGCAACACAGCGTCTCTCCCCACCAGCAGTCATGTCCACATCTTTTAAAATACACTAATGACCTCCTAGGCCCCCACTCTCAAAGGTATTTGACGCTCAGGTCTCACTGAAGACTGCTGGACTTAGGCCTAGTGGCTAGGACTACTGTCAGTTTTACTTCAGTAGTTAAACTAGAGCCGACCTTCAGCATGTCTGTCTGTCGTCAAGAGATGGAAATAACGTGAAATTAACTGAGATCTGCTGTGCTGCCCTGGGAATTCAGACAAAAAGGCAATATAAAAGTGTGCCCTTAAGAACAATGGGAAGCCGCGGATCTTCCTCTGCCAGGGAATAGGGCAGATCAAGTTTAAAGAGAGCTAAATCCCCACTGTTTCCCTCCTTCCCATACACATGCACAACACACTCTGCAAAGGTATACACTTCTGTTTGTTTTGTGTGGTTTCCTCAGGCAGTGAATTATCTAGGACTGAGTCTGAGACTGACTGTTTAGTTTCAGGCTTTGTGATAAGCTTTTAATTATAGCACAGGAGTTTCATTACATGTTACTCCAAGCCAGCTGGAAGCAGTTACACTTCAGTCCTCCCCCCCTCCCTCCTCACCACAGGACATCATTTCCAAGGCCTTACCCTTCTTGTCTTGATGATTATGGGATGAAACTGCCACATATGGATCTGTATTTTCAGATGAACCAAGCGGATCCTTCCAATCCAGCATGCGTCCCCTAGCATCATAACCCTGTCGAGCGCGAGAGTCGGAAGTGGTGGTGCTTGGGACTAGGGAACTGGAGTGTCCTGTTTACATTATAAATACAGGTAGGGAAGACAAGTCTCATTAGTCACTTACCACGCTACCTCCCCACGCTCAGGAACACACGCACTGCTTTGCTTCTGTGATGGGCGAACGTCTTGTCTTAGGCTGAGCAATGTTTCCAAAGTTCTTCAAAGCAAGGCCCCAAGGAAACAGGGCATTTGAACACTCCAGATCAGGGTGATAAGAGGTGTGTGCATGCCCTGGGCTGCCGCTGAGCTGGCAGTTGTGTGCTTTTACTCAACAATTAAAGGCATGTGGAAGACGGTGAGCACACTTTATCCGAGTCAGGCATTCTAGATTCAGTATACGTGCTTGACCAACACTGAAGTGTTGGCCCATGCTGTCTGGTACTGGCTTAGTTAAAAACCAATTTTAAAACCAATATAAAATGGAACAACTTCTAATACGGCTGAAACTGAAGGGGAATGCCAGAAGAGCTACAAACGATGACATCAGTGGCTCTCTGCCCTGTGCCCCCAGGGGAATGAAGGACTGCCCAGCACCGGCATGCTCGCACTGGGGCATCGCTATCCAGATGGGAAATGTGCAGGACCCGTCAGCCGCTTGCACTTGCTTGGACCCTCATCATTGGTCGTGTCTGAGCTGACGGTCAAAACGGCTCTGAGATAAGCATGAAACCAAACATAATTTCTGCTCAGAGTGACAGTGACGACAATGCCTAACTACACGGATCTGCCCAAGAACCCGTGACTCCAGTAGCTGCCGGACATAGGTCTTGCATGCCTTTTTTTCCATTACAACTACTCTAGACACTGCTACTGTTGTCCTGAATAAGACTGATGAGCTCCTTGCCTACCAAATACACCTCAACAAACAGCATGTTCACAGGACATGCCCTGCTGGAAACACTGCACAATTTTAACAGCTGTTCGGCTGGGGCAGAGATGTGTATGTCATTTGCAGCTAGATTCTGAGAAGTATGTCAGCACCCAAAATGCTCGGAGTGCTTGGAGTCTACTGTCTCTGAAACATGGCTCCAACCTGGACTTCCCAGTGGCTCAGGCTCCTCCATTGCTGCTGGGGAGAGGACGCCAAAACTCCATCCACATCACAACATTTTGCTCTCAAAACCACACATCTCTGAAAGTTCACTTTCAGCACATG